ATCGCAGCAAGCCGTGTATCTCACCCCCGCATCTCCGTCAAATCCCAAAGAACATTCCGCTTCTAACGTTATTTTTTCCTCACCTATTCCGAATTCCTGCTTTAGGCCGGTCTATTTTACACACAATCCGCATTCGACTAGCCGAGGTTTTATTATTGTAAATCACGAATTGTCGAGGATGGTAGGCGCGCGTATCATACCAATCAGCGCCACCCGTATACTCTCTCTTCCATTCTTCCATTCTTCGGGGCTCGAAAGGGCCCAGACGGTCTTCTCGGAACTTAATGATTTTTCGTGTATTGTCATTCGAAACGGCGAGCGCAGGAAACGTGCCCGACACTTTCCACTCGATAACGCCCGCGAAGCGTGCGACTTTTTTTATCGGTAATTTAATTAACTATAAACCGAATAAATTTTATTGTATTCCTCAACGCACTCCAAACCAACAAGAATTTTTTATAGTAGAACGATCAAATTAAAAATATTGGTATAGTACGTTCAGGTTAACAGCGCGATGACGTCACGATTAGATTAGATTTCGTTATATTGTAGCCATCGAAGGAGCAACACCATTACCGAGCACATTTTTTTTTCATCTCGAAATACTTTTATTATTAGATGCTATTAATAATGGTCGTCTCAGCGGGACGCGGTGCATTGTGGTTGCTAATGAAAAACGTAATAGATATGATGTAACTCTTTTCCATTGACTAATTGCATAATTACACGTCCCGGGACTGACGAAAGTCCGAGTATAATTGGCGTCGTTCGGTAATCGGGTTAAGGTTGGTTTATCGGCGATAATGGGATTTTTCTGGCTATACGAATTGATGATGTTTTTCGACCCGATGAAATCTTATACATCGCAGGAAACATTTAAAACCCGCTGCACCGATGATTGATTAACGCGCTGCATATTTATACCAGCATGTTTTATATGCTGTCATCGGAAACTCATTGTTCCCACTTTCATCGCAACTACTACCAATAATAATCGATTTATTTTAGAGTATCTACTTATCAAGAAACTATACTGCTTCACAAAAGTTAAGGAAGTTCACAAATACTGAGATTAATTTAAAAGTTGCAAGTTTTTTGATCGCCAAATTTAGTATGAGTTGTAGAGGTAGGGGCAAAAAATCCACTCAGATATGAGAAAATAGAAATTTCGCATATTTGAAAATCTTGTGACCAAAAAGTCTGTAAATTTTAAAATAATCGCAAAATTTGCGAACTTTTGTGGAGCAGTTTACTTTTTGTTACCAAATATCTTCGAATAAACTTTAACTCTAACAAGTTTCCGGTTAGCTATGTATATAATCCATCTAATAAAACCCGGTAAATCTCGTCGTGTACAATTACAATCTATCTAGATCTTCGAAGAAGGAGCTGGCCTATGTGAAATAAGAACCGAGAAACGGCCGTTCGTTTGCCGAGCGGCTGCCGTTGCGTTAAGATATTCGCCTCGGTGCGTTAGTTAGTCCTGCTCGGTGCAGGATCCGAGCGGAACATGAATTATCGCGAATACCTTTGCAATTGACGCGGGGGAATAACGATCGCGCGAGTTCAATCGATGGGACTTGTCCGGTACGCCTATCTCCTATACAAAATAAAACCGCATACACAGTGAAGTAGATACCAAAAAAAAATAATGTTTGAGCTCCGATAAGTAAAGCACTAACTTAATTAAATAAATTATACAACAACAGCCCTTTTTTCGAAGACTGTTATTGACCATAATGTATATGATTACGGCACCGGGTTGACCGAAAACGAAAAAAAAAATTATGTAGAAGGAAAATCGAGAGATTCCCCCGAGGTGCGGGTTCTCGTAAAACCTTTTTATACAATATTAGAATATATACATTTTTAACATTCTATCGCGGTTAAGGCGAGCTATCAATTATGCATTGAAGATTAACGAGTATCGAAATGCTTATGGCTAAATATCTGTATATACATACATAATTATATGGTGCGCGGTGCTTTTTTTATTTTCAAGTTTCTTTTTTCGTCGTCCATCGAATCGAGTGCGCCGCGGAACTATCGGGATCGAAAATGGGGAGGTACCGGCGTCGGGTGTATAAGAAGTCGAGGGTGTCTCGCCTCCGGGCCATCGGCAATCACACTTTTATCCTACCTACAATTCGTTGAATTATTACGTTAATTATAAATTTACCCATCATAAAGTTTCTATACTGCGATGATTTATTAACACCGCGTATATACGTATACAGGGTGTTAATGAAGTAAAAATAATGGTATTTTGATATATAGAGATATGTCAGCGAATGCTTCGTTTTTGAGATACGGGGTGTTAAAGTTTCTGCTTAAAAAACGAAGATTTGGTTATTTCTGTGGAACCAGGCGAGGTATTTAAATGAAATTTGGTGGGGTTTGAGAGGTAACTATTACGCGTTTTTTGATATGAAATTAAAAATTTTATGTTCATCATTGACGCGCGTACGGGTAATAATAATTTTTTTTTAAGAAAAAAATAATATTGGTACGCCACTGAGGCATTTTTATTAAAAATTCAATTATGAATAAATTCCTCGTTCAATTTGCGACAAAAAAATTCTCTTGTGTTTTTTTCGTACAGGTCGCTATTTTCGCGTAAAAAAATAAAACATCTTGACTTTCATTTTTCATTTCCTCTATAGTAGTGAAGAAACATTAACACCCTGTATCTCCAAAACGAAGCATTTATGGACTTACGTTTATATAACAAAATACCATTATTTTTTCATGCAAAATCACCCCCTCAAGTTTGCCGCGTTTCACCCTGTATACCGGGCGACTTCAATAACTTAGAACCGAATTAGTTAACAAAATGCGAAGACGTAAGCATCCCACATAAAAGCTAATAAGCACTGCATAGGAACAGATTAGTTGGGGTTGTGGCGCACGGCCCCCCTACGGGGCACCTTTTTAGCGGACAATGGGGCCCGCGAGCGAATTTTCGCCGCGTCACCGTCGGTATTAACCGGCCCTGGAGGGGGCCCTTCCAGTCATCGTCAGTTTCGAGCGCCTCGTTCGAAACCCATGAGAAAAACCACCGGAGATTCCTCGTCTTTTTGTTACAGCTAGAGGTTATTATTCTTTTTCTACGCGCGAGTAATCGTCGTTTTGTTTGCGTTAGCGTTACTCCCGTGCGATCTCCTCCTCGCCGGAATCCTCATGCATATATATAAATTAAAGAGGTCGGCGAAATCCGATGATCGCGCCGCTTCCCAATCTCAGGCTAGCATAAAACAGGAAAACGACGCTCGATATGTGCGAGCCCGAGCGATCGACCTTCTTCGCGCAATATGCGCTCCTGGTGCGCGGATTGTGCTAGGCTAGAGCAAAGGAAATGACACATTAGGTGCACGCGACGGGTTCCAGCGCCCAATGGAACCGATGTGCCCATTGGTAGAGGACGCGCAGGGCGTGGTTGCGGTTGCGATTGCACCGAACTAGCCGGTTTACAATACCTATGTGCTTGGCTCGTTGACATTGCTCGATAATTGCCCCGGAGATGTCCTAAGCTCGACGAAAATTCGGAATTTCTGTTCTACTTTAGTATAACTTTGTGGGGCTTTAAGATGCGTTAGATGGTACATAAACACGCGTACTGTCAGTGTTGACGTTAATGACATTTCGTGTATGATAGATGTTTAATAGAGGTGGGAATCGATTTTTTGGTGTAGAGGTGCAGTAATGACTGTTACAAAATAAGAGGTATTTTTTTGGGTTTGTGTGTATTAAATTAGTATTTTATCGCAATATGATCTAGCAGAAGTTCAATTATTTACACAATAGACCAACACTGTATATAACAGATCGAAAACGTTCATTGCGTTGTTAATTAATTTACCGGCATTCGTTTTAACCGGAAAGATTTCATTTTTCATGTACAAGGTGTTCCATATTGACATGCTAATATTTAAGGGGGTAAATCTTGGAACCATTTTAAGAAAAAAACTTTATATGAACATATGTCCTAAACCTAAAATTTATTATTTTTTAATTTTAGCACAGCGGCTAATGTATTAGCCGGAGAATACAAATGAATGTATTTATTTTTTTTAATGGGAAACGATGAGTCGTACGGAAAAAAGTCAAGATATCAAATTTGTTGTAAATTGAATGAGGATTCCGAAAATAATTTTAATTTCAATATTAGGCAGTGGTGTACCATTTTTTCTCCAAAAACATTCAATGCAAAACCCGTACGGACGCCACTGCTGAAAATAATAAAATTATTTGTACATCAGAAAATGCATCTTAATTCATAGAAGACTTGTGCCAAATTTCATAAAAAAATCTACAATAGTATCACAGTTATTACAAAAAAATTAATTTTTTTCTTAAAACTTTATGACCCTGTATCTCAAAAGTTAGGACCTTTAGGACATCGGTTCATATGAAGTTTTTTTCATAAAATAGACCCAAAAACCACCCCCTTAAATATTAGCACGTCATTTTGGAACACCCTGCATAAAGGTAGCGAGAAAAGAACTAAAACGGCTTTTAACGGGATTTTCTCAGCGGCTTAAAGTTAAAACAACAAAACTATGAGGACATTTTAGGTCATTTTCTATCAAAACTCCCTTTTATTAAAACACACTTTAACACCAAATATCCGCCCATCGGGGTCATACATATAAAGAACCAGCGAGAACGTCGCGCGCAAACCATCATTAACTCGAGCAAAAGGCGCAGAAGGAAGGGGATGGAAGTGTTAGCCCCATGCGGAGTTTCGACAATCTCATTACCGTCGGCGTTACTTGCACATTTCGCCATCATCGCGCATCGCCCCCGTTACACCGTTCGACGTATTCTCATTTTAACGCGACGGGTTAATGAGAAATTTGTCCAAGCACACACACACACACACACCTCTTCACCGCCGCCGCGTCACGGTTCTAATTTATTTAAAAAGTATTAATTACGATCGGCCCTCGACCGAGGTAGGTTGTACGACATGTTAATATAAGCGGCGTTTGTTGTTTTGTCGAGCATTTTTTTTGTTTGGTATAAATAAAGCGCTTGTATTTGATTCGCTCTCTAATTAAACCATCGATCGTTAATACTCGATCGGGCGTATAATTTCAAATTCCTGTCAAATTGACTTGAGTCAGCGCGGTAAATGAGCAGAAGACGATTCTCCGGCGCCTCGACGAGGAGACGGAAGCCCAAATGCAGGAGTACCTGCAACAAGAACCGCCCGAATCCGCGTAGAAACAAATACCATTCGAGCTACGATGAAATCAAGGAGAAGCTAAAAGACCTGCTGGTGCGCTATCCCGACCACATCCAAGTGGAACCGGTGGGTTGTTCGCAGGAAGGCAGGACGATATTCATAGCGTTCGTGTCGAGAAACGCGGAGGAATTCCCCAAAAACGCGGTGTTCATCGAAGCCGGCTCGAACGGTCGAGACCACCTAGCAGTAGCCTCAGCGCTCTACATCATAGAGCATTTATGCAAAACCGTACAAACCAGCAAATTACTGAAAATCATGGATTGCTTCGTGATACCCTGCAGCAACCCGGACGCCTACGAGGCGACCCTCAAGGGCCGCAAGCCTCGCCTAAACCTAGCCAGGTGTTTCCCCTTCAAGCTCGGCCAATACAGCCTCGACGATATAGGTTCAAATCCCATCGCGTAATCGAGAATTATACCTACAGCAGCGGAATTTTTCAGGCGAAGCCGAGTTCCTGCGAGCGGCCAAAACGTGGAAGGAAAACCAGCGGTTCGACGCCAGCGAACGATCCGCGCTGGTTTCGGCCATCTCGGCCTACCAATTCGCCACCAAGCTGTTCGTGTCGCTGCAGGAGGAGGGCGAGATGATCGCGTTTCCGTTCGGCGCGACGTCGCGGCCGATCGGCGACGCCGACGAGCTGGCGCGCGTCGCCAGAATCGGCCGATCGGGCGCCGGGTCGAGCTTCCGATGGGGCTCGATCTACCAGCTGTGCGGGCTCACCTTCGGCACCGTCGTCGACTTCCTGCGGACGTTTTCCGCGCACTTTAAGTACTCGTACATCGTGCATATGAACGATAGGGGGAGCGCTAATCGGGCGGACGAGCGGGCTTCGAGGGTGCTCTGTTGCATCACGAAAATGGCCAAGGAGGTGTACGATGCTTTCAACGTGGAGAAACAGGAAGTTTCGCCGCCTAAAAGCGATAAATTTATAAGGGACGCGAACGAGTACACCTAATAAATTCGGTGTGGTACTTCGGTCATTCGAATCGAACGTTTTCTTGTTAATAGTGCGACATTTTCAGCGTTCGATTCGTAGCTGGGGTTCGATTTTTGTGAGGCGGATTCGCCTTGTTGGTGCTCACAATAAGCGAATAAATCCGTCCCGCGACGAAGGGAATTAGGTAAAATGCCGCATAAAAATTAAAACGGGATTAAACGGGAGATTGATTTTTCAAAAGACATTCACCGATGGACGTTTCGTAATTTATTCGACTCGAACCAGTATTTACGAACGAGTTTCTTCCTACTCTTGTCTATCAAACCGATCTAAATTTATTCTATTTAGGCATCGTTTAAACGAACACGGATCGTATACGTTCATTTATGGTTATTTGATTGTTTTTAACTGGACACGAAAATTTTTACACCGTCGAATTGGAAAGTTCGCCTATTATCTACGAATCCCCATCGAATATCTTCCGCATCTCTGTTGGAATAAAAATTCGATTTACCTGAATAATATCAATGCAGATGTTCGACGATCTGATTTACGGCCGTATTTCGCGCATACACACGCGTTACGCCCCTATCGAAAGCACGTACTCGCGTTTCTGATACCGGCGAGATACGATTTTTATTTTAGCGCTTTCATTACGATAAACTGATAAGGCAGGAACGTTGTTCACACCTCGAAGAAAATGATGCATGCACCACGACGGCAATTAATATGGAAGTTATCGCTCGAAATGGTGTCTGTAATCAACCGGCGCGTAGGATCGGTGTACCAAAAATTTATTTCCATCGCGCGAATGCGACACTCGCAGGAATTGATGTATTTCCCCGGGAATTATCTAGCTTATTTTGGATATAATAACGCTTTATTTTATAGTCGAGTTTTTTGGTATTTATTCAATTATCTAACAGGAATAGATGTTGCAGGAATCATGATGTTGGAAATCGTATCGCAGGATTTGGTGAAGTAGGAATGTATGTTGCAGGAATGGTTTTTGCATTAATTTATGTTGCAGGAATTGTTGTTGGAAATCGTATCGCAGGATTTGGTGTACCACGAATGTATGTTGTAGGATTTGCTTTTTCAGGAATTGATGTTGCAGGAATTGTTGTTGAAAATCGTGTCGCAGGATTTGATAGGAATGGATGTTGCAGGAATTGATTGATAATGGATGAATTGATGTCGTAGGAAATGTTGCATGAATATAAGTTGCGGAAATGGAAGCTGCAGGAACGAATTTTGCAATTTTTTTTTGAAAATTTCATTCTTATTTAGTCTTTCACGATTGAAATTGTATGTAGATGTAGGCTTGATGTTGATGCCCGCTGATCATTTGTGTGCAGGAGTGATTAAACGAGATGCAGGAATTATTCGATTCGGTTGAAAGGTGTTGAAACGTCGGAGAAAATATCAGATAGGTATTTATTTTATTGGCTTCGTTAGAAACGTTTCCCGAAGTTATTGATAGAATCGTAATTACAGCAGTTTCCTCCCAAAGGTATAGGCCAATTTTATGTCTCAAATAATCTCAATATAATTAATAAAATTTATTTCAAACAACATAAATTTGTTAACCTTCACTTATAACGAAAAACTTGTCATTTCTTTGAACTTACTTAATGATTGTGGTAATTGTTTAACTTAAAAAAATCGTACGTTATTTACATATTTTTACAGACGAATCGCTTTTGAAGCAAACACGGAACCCGAATCATCCAAACCTCACTCAATACCTTCTTATTAGAGAATCGTTTTGCGCGTGTTCCGGATAGAAACTCTGCGTTTTGTAGTAATTATCAATCTCCCTGGCCATCAGCGTGATGACGCACAGCACATTTTCTGCTATAAACGGCACTTTCCTGAACACCTGCCCGTGCTGCTTATCATTCACGTGAATGATATACGTAAACTTCAAGAAACTGGAGAACAATCGCAGGAAATCCACGATGGTGCCGCAGGTGACGCCGCAATGCTGGTAGATGGTGCCGATATCAAAGTCTATCTCGCTGCCCAGCTTCCCGATTTTCGCCACGTAGGACAACGTGCTGGTATCGTACGTTTCCAATTTCGAGCCGAACGGATAGACGATCATCTCGCCCTCCTCCTGCAGCGACACGAACAGCTTGATGTCCTTCTGGTAGTCCGCTATGCCCTTGATCAGCGCCAGCTTCTCGAAGTTCTGTATCACCAGGTTCTCCTTCCACTTGTGGCTCACCTCCAAGTAGTTTTCGATACCTAAAAACTCGCTAGTAACTCGCGAACAACTCGCCGATTAATTCACCTCTCACCGATATCGTTGATGTTGTAGTGGGCCAGTCGGAAGGGGAAGCTCTTCGCCAAGTTCATGGAGTTCTTCTTGCCGTACAAAGTGAGCTCGTAGTCGTCGGGGTTGGCTAACGGCAGGACGTAGACGTCCATGACGAGCAACGTGGTGCTGCTGCTGGCGTGCACGCAGAGGTAGTTTATGATGTACAGAGCAGAAGCCACGGAGACGACGTCCTCGCCGTTGGAGCCGCCCTCTATGAAGACGGCGTACTTGCGGGGTAGGCTCACCTGCCGCGCCACGAGCATCAGGAAGATCGGTCTACCTGGAGGAGTTGGAATTTCGGGATGATGATGATAGAGCGTAGCAGTAGAGGAACTCGTTAGTCACCTGCTTTGGAGTTTCCGATAATTTCCAGCTCCAAGTTATCGGGGTAGGCTTGCAGCAGGGAGTTGAGGAAGAACCGGATCTGCTCGTAGTCGAGGAAGAGCTTCAGGCGGGGGTGTCGGGGATTGGAGGTTTCGGGTTCGGGCGCGTTGCGGTTTTTGTTGTCTCTTTTCTTGGCGGTTTTCTTCCTGCGTACGGTGTCTTTGGATGATAGCGATGCTCGGTCGTGGTGGAGTTTCCTTTTGATCATCGCTCATGGGATTGGTGTGGGGAGCACTGGAATTTTGAACGTGAAGGTTGTGGGGTTTGAAGTTACGGTAATGAGACGTGCACGTCAAACGAGCTTATAATATCGTCCTGTCCTTGTCGGGAGTTCGAGTTTAGTTCGAGTTTAGTTCGAGTTAAGGTCGAGTTTTCTTTTTTTTTAAGGAAACGAATACATTAGTCGAACACCGATATATACACGGACGCATTTCTCGGTATTGATACCATTTAATCCTGTTTTATTTTTACATTGTTAGGACCCCAACGGAACCGTTCTTTTTTCTCGTTTTTCGCCGGTTAACGAGCCTCGTTATTTAATTAACGATAGGCCATCTCCAAACCAGCGGCTCGCCTCACAAAATCCAATTTTACCTAATGAAACCTACTTTTATTCCAATTATTACATAACATGTCTTATGTACACATGATGCATCATTTTGGATTATCTCGTTGTTCTTCAATTCGAGCGAAGATACCTAAATATTCGTTGTTGAAGTACAAGCAATCAATATTAATAGGGTGATATTTTAAGAGTAAAAAATAATCCAGCACGCCCAGCATCTCGTCCATTTCTCGTTTCTATCGAACCTCACACATGTTTGGGCTTATCGAGCGCTGCATCTCCTTTACGGCCCCCAATCGCTGCTTTTACTTTTATTTCGTTTGTTCCAAAAGGCTTATTTAAGTTAAATTAATCGTTAGTTGCGTTAATCAACAACGTCTCGGTCGATTTTTTTTTTTTACTTTTTTTTCATTCGTATATACGCCGGGTAAACGTTTTATAATAATTAACTAGGTGGAGATGGGATCGTCATCGAAAATTGTCCGTTTTCACGCTCATCGGGCCTTATCAATTCCGAAGATGTTAGGCGCTGGTTAACACTTTGTTCCTTGATCGGTCGCTCGATAGGTCTCAATCGATTTTAATTTGCATAAACGCGTTTTACTAACGAACTTTTTGAGGGATTCGATTCGAAATAACCTCCCGGCGCTCTTTCCTCCAGCTCGCGCGCATACCGTTTAATTTGTAGCTACCGTCGAATGCGAGAGTAGCCGGATTTAGTAGCCCCTACTAGCGAGCGGAGTGTCCGTCGACACATTGAAATAGTATTGTCTCTAGTCGTACCTAATGGGCTTTATCTGCGCTGATCGTCGCTGCATATCCGAGAGAGACACGGCCGCTCGGCCGGGGCCGCTTCCTAGAACTCGCTCGGCCGTCGGGTTGACAATTTATTTTATAGAGATGGGTGCGTGGGACGCGTACATATACGCCGGGCACCGGGGGTTTCACAAGCGCTGCGGTTTCCACGAAAATCCCGGCGCAATTGCATGCACTGTAACTCGATGGTACTGGATTGTTGCGGACGAAAAAGTAGAGAGTAGGGGTTGATTTTGGAGTAAGGAGGTAGAAAAGGTAGGTAGAAATTCGAGCGATGGGTCCCAAACGGTTGATAATTAATAGTTTTGGTAAGCAGATTAATGATGCTCGAAGGGGACCATCATTTATAACGTTATTTTTCAGTGTGGTCTCTCTTTTCGAGACTGGAGAGTGTAGAGTTTCATTTTTTTATAAATTGACTCGGAGACGATTTCTATGTAGCTTGTACACGACAAAAGACTATATATAGGTATATACGCAAATATAGATTCGTTTTTAATTATTTAAAATTCCTCGTTAATAACGAAATCGTCGTTGATTAACGGCAATAAATCATTCGGTTTAATGCTCCGATATAAATTAATCTAAACCAATCTAATGAATGCTAGATGGGGAAGCGATAGGCGGGCGCGCAGTATTGTTTGTTTCCATTTTCGGATCGCATGCTTCGTAAATACTTAATTTAAAAAAGATCTTACATAAATTAAATTAAAAAGCATTTCCGTTTATTAGTTTAGCGTTTCGTCGGGCTATTAAATTTCTAATTCGCATTCGTTTTTTCGACGAATTGCAGTTTGTTGTACGGGTACATCTATGTATTTTTATTTGTTTCCAACATTACATAAAGATTCGCGAAGGAAAATAAATTACTCACCGTCGCTAAACGAATCGAATTTCCGTAAAAATGCCGAACAATCGAATACGTGTGTTCTCACAATAACCTCGTTAGCCCGAAAACTGGAGTTACCAGATTGAGGAAGAAAGACGGGCCCACACAAAAACCCCCGATTTTTTTTTATAAAGAAAAAGAAAATAATCCAAAGCGGTGTCGGACGACTGGTCGAACCAATCCATTTTAATCCTATACAGGAAGCTGTATGCGTTTTTCGACTTATTCAATTTCCTACAAGAAGTGTGTAATAAACACTATACATTTCTTGAATATTGTGGTACAAATTTTCTACATTTTAATGTAGCAAAATACGGCTTATGTGCGAGCTGTTGGGTCCAATCAACCCCCGACTTGCGGCCGGCGGTCCGTCCGAATTTCTATAAATTACAATTTGTCGAATAGCCGGCGCTCCGGTGGCTGTGGAGCAGCGCCCCACGCGGCGCTCCCCGTGGGGAGCTCCACCTCGGGCCCTCTGGAAGCGCCTCGCCCAAATCATCAATTTTCGCCCATCTATAATCGCCGAAACCGGCCGGTTTTTCCGCCTCGAATAGCCCGATCGACATCACTTCCACCTCTTAATCGTTCTAACGATACGGATCGATCATCGCCTCGGCCGCATCCATCATTTCGATGTCCAATCGCGGCCCGATTTTAATTACAAACACCATCGCTTACACACATCGGCCTATACTTTCCTCGAACGTGCAGCGCGAGCTCCGTTTTTTCCGCCGTCGTAATGGGCTCCCAAAAAAATGACGAGGGTTTCCCAGGCTATAAATATCGTCGAGGTACTCCATCGAGGTCCCGCTGAATTCTGATGTTGGTTTATGTCACCTTAACAAGGGTTTCTGTCGCAATAATATATTGCCGGGCCTGACGCAACACTCAGGTAGCAGCATCGAGGTAGGCGTTTGGACGTTTCGTTTTTGTTCTACCTTTTGTTTTAAACGATCGTCTGACAGGTCTAGAAACTCGGTGACAGATCTCCTGGACCTCTTCGCGAGCGGCGTTGCCAAAACTTCGTCCTTAAATCGCCTCTTAATCGAGTTGATTGTGTTAATTGTTCGATGGGTGATTGTTGCGAGTTTGGTAAATTATTACGGGTGTAATTTATGGGTAATTTGTTGGTAAATGGCAACGTCGCATCGATTTTGGACTTCTTCGGGGGGCTGTGTACGCGATAAGATAGGTGTTTAACAGTGGTTCGGATTAAACGATTATCACGCCACTTTAGATAGTGAGCGTGGAGCGAACCAAAACGGTGCTCGGGTTTTATGAAGATGGATTTTAGTAGTCGGCCGTGTTTCGATTTCGGATTTTCGTGTTTTAACGCGATCGTTATCGCGCTTTCGTTGATAACGTAGCGCGCGAAACTCGCAAATTAATGCTCACGGAATTCGCGTTTTTTTTCCTCTTCTCTCGCCGGTTGTTTAAAATGTAATTAAACTGCGTGCAGAGGATTTACGCCGCGAAAATCGCGTGGGTTGGATAATCGAAGGAAAGAGGAAATGACTTGCACCCCGTGCGGGTGCTTCCTTATAGGTGAAATCCCGTCGCCGGGCCAGGTGACCGGAGCCCATCCTTCAACCAAAGCACCATCGAGATAAGCGAAAATCGCATTCAATGCGATACAGTTAAAGGTGAAAAATAGATAATAAATCTCCTGCTACTTGGAAGATAATGGACAGCGGATCCGTGTGAACCGAAAACGAAATAAACGTTTCGAGATTTTAATAATATATGTATTAGAAGGCTTTGTGTTTCACATCTTAAATATAATGGTACTTTGTTCGTTCAATGGGCGTCCCGTCGTGTTAAAAATTGATCCATTTACCGCATTATCTGGGCCCGGACATCGACCTAATTTACGAATCAATCAATCAATTCGTTGTACACACCGAAATAAATCCCTTTCCAATTTAACCCTAAAAAAATTATCTCGTGCATTTTGAGAAAACTACCACAATTATTCAATTAAATGTAACTAAACAATACAAATAAAATATTACCCGAGCGGATATTTCAAAACTGGAACTTCTACTAATATTTCATATATACATAAATTATTATTCCCATATTTACAACTATTTACATCTAACTTCATTAATAACTGATTCGAATTTAACACGGCGTTAGTTTTAATTTGCATAAAATTATTCCCGTGTGTAATTAACGGCTATAAATTTGGGTTTTGTGTCAAATCATCAGTTATAATTACGTCAATGAAATTCGAGCTACATTGCCGGAGAGTTTAGAATTTGTTCAGAATTTGTTTAGAATTTATTAAAGCATCTGTGGATGTTTCGAAAAAAATTAAATTGTATAGCCTCGATCAATTGTGGGATTATTTATAAACCGACGTTTCGAAAAAGTGTTTATTATAATGTGATTTGCATACGATTTAGTAAGACCACACCGTACTGGGCGTTAAGAGACTGCTAAAAATAAATTCTTTATATAAGATGTATAATTTTTAAGTAATTTTTGTGGCAGTGTTTATTAAAATATTCTAATAGACTCTGCATTCTTTTTGGATCGTTAACATTATACAAACCGAACGCTTTCCACAACCCAATCGATAAATTTAAGGTAAACTACATTCCGAGAATTTCTCCGGCCCTTAAAACATCCGTTCCTAATGAGAAAAACCATAAAACCCGGTGTCTTAGTCGTTACCAAACATATATAACATTTTAAGGACAATAATTCTAGCGAAAGCGACGTTTTACGAAGAAGGGCCGGCCCGGACGAGAAAAAAAAAACCGTCCGAAGGGCTCGCAGGTCACGTCAAACAAACCACAATAACTTAACGATTTAACGACATCCACCGGACAGCTTCATAAAGATTTAAACGGTACTGTGAAATTCGCCCATTGTGTCCCTAATTTTACTATGTTTTGTTTTGAACATTACGATTTTTATTCGATACAGGTAAAAAGGAAAGGATAATAAGTCACTGGGAATGGATTCTCGATGGCAGGGGGTGTAGGTAAAAGGCGCCATCGAGTCCACACAAATACACAAACCAATCGCAATTAAAAAAAAATTATACACACAAAAACCACCTGTCCTAAACTAATAAACTTAAACGCATTAGCCGATAACATCGTCTTGTAACATTAAAACAAAAAAAAAATGCTAAGGCTATCAAACATCAGAAAATGACCGGTGCTCGAGCTCCCGTTCTGGGTCGGATCGCTCGAAAATTGGCGCGCTCGATTCGGCTAAATTGGGCCCGTTTTCCGGCCTCCAGCGCAGCACCATATTGAAAATTCGTTAAGGGACGCGGAAAAGGCGGCCATCAGAAAATACGGCGTGTTTCGTGATAGCTGTTGCCGCGATAAAATCTTAATTATGAGTAAAACGCGTTATCTGGCAGGCTGTGATCGCGATGCGTGTTCGTCGTACACTCACTTGTTTCCCCGCTTCCAAACAGCCCTTAAACTAAAGGGTAGATTTAACTATACACTCAGAATAAGGAATTCTATACGCTACATTTATTTGTATATAAGTTTTAAATTAAAGAGATAAATGATAGATGGATGACAGATAGATAACAGGCATCAGGTGACAGACAGATGACAGATAGGTGACATATAAATGGCATATAAGATGACAGGTACAAGATTAGACATATGACAGATAGATGGCTGCAAAGAGAAGACTAATAGAGAAGATATATCGTTTGCTCCATTTCCGATTGCAACATGGTCATTTCTATGAGTGGAACAAAGAAAGATTAATAAAATAACAGTTGTCAGAGTGAAAAGTTGCAATGACACAAATGTCACTCTTTCCTTTTCCTTTGTAAGTGTCTAATGGAAGTTGTCTTTATCGCACCAATGGCCTATATAACCAATGTTACAATCAAAAATGGAGCAACATGTAGAAGGCAGAAACAAAGGTGAAAGATGAGTGATGTTATATAGAAGATAAAAAATATGCTGGAGGTTCACCATTCAGCATGTAGAATTTTTTCTTAGTGTAATACCGACCAAAATGAAGATGGAAACGATAACAAATACACCCGTCTATTAGTCCATAGTTTACATAAATATTAAAGAAGTTCCTATTAGGTAATTTTTCCAATTAAATTACCTATTTTTCTAATGCATCATACACTTAATTAATTCGGTACTACTTTCTCGCATCGATCGCCATTCACCATCCAACAATTCCCTCGACTTTCCAGCTCCATTACATCCAAACCGCGCGATTTTCCGCGCGGAAAAAGTACCACCAGAACCCGGCCGGGCGTCGTCGGCGTCGGTACGCCGGCCTGCCATTCGCGGCCGGGCGTCGGCGGCGACGGAGAGCGCTGAGAAAACTCCTCCCAGCCCAGCATGGATGCTGGAAGCGGCCGCGCCAATGGCCGGACGGTACTCGAGGTGGTACCCGACTCCAGGCGAGATTTATCGACGTCGGCGCGGGTACCGCATGGGCACGCCTGGGCCCCGGCGAATCCCGTACGGCTCGGTTTGATTCATTTGCGTTTTGTTTCGTCGGGTACTTTATAGGTACCGACGGTACCGATCTCGTGCGCGTTTATTTGCTCGCGCCGGAGATCGCCGGTACGGGAGTTGATGGTACTGGTAAATTGGTTCGTATTTCAGGGTGTTTATTGGGATTGGTAGTACCTGGTCAGTGGCGTACTGATGTGTTTTCGAATGCGTGATTTTAGCGCTTAATACAATGAGATAGGGCATCTAAAGTAGCGATTTATGGGAAATTCACATTTTAGCTAAAAATATTGTTGGTGTATAACTTATTAACGAGCGTATACACCCGGTAATTATGTCGTGACCGTTTGAAATTTTCTTTTTTTTTTATACACGGGTTCGCCGAGGAATTTTTTCAACATTTTTTCTTCCTATCGAATTTGTTTAGAGGGGATTAGAGGCTTAGCTTCGGTCGAGCATGCGAATTTTCGATCGTCACTATTTTTAGACTTTATTATTACACGTTTTCGTGATTATGTACCTAATAAATTTAACGTTGTATTACTCGAACATACCGAAAATTATTTATTTTTTCCCTCTTAAAAATTATAATAGCCGTGTTAACCTAAATATTCATTCCTTGATAACTACTACTTCTTTTATAGTTGTATTTAGCAAAACCTAAAGAAGTAGGAACAACAAGATTTTAGTGATTTAAAAATTTTTAGTCGTAAATTTCATCAAAACCGAAGCATGAAATTTAATTGTCGGTAATTGTAGGTTCGAATGTACGCAGGTGCATGTGAACTTCTCACACTGGAAAAATTATTACAAAAATCCCCATTGTCTAACGGTCCTCTTTTCGGGTTTTAATGCGCATTTAATGGCCATCATCAGAGAGGCTAATGCTGTACGAATTAGGCACCGGGCGGTAATTAAACTTATGTGAAATGAAATTTAAAATTTTTATTGTTTCGAGTTTTCTACAGTACAACAATTAACGAATTTCTATAAACGAGAATCGGCCGGATTCGCGTCGATAAAGTGCGGTAAAAGTCCCTTTGAAGCGACACGACGCGGGCAAAAACGAAAAGTATAAAGCGAAATAAAACCGAGAGCCCGAAGAACGATAAAACTTTTGAATTACAAATTTGCCAAACGGACGAAATTTGTTTTAAATATCGTTTAAAAAATTTTAAATTCCACCGGATCTTATCGAGATGTCATATCGGAGAGGCGTTTCATGCGAGAATCGAAAAGAGAAGAAGAGGATATTTCGCATTCGAGAACCTTTTATTTCATACAGTGGCGTATCTACAACTACACTAATACATAATTTTTATATTCTCCTGCATATTTATACATATAATTAGCATATACGATTTAAACGAGTTGATTAAATTTTGATTGTAAATAACACCATTTATTCCTAAGGATGGGCAACGTTGGGGGATATAAGAGCAGGGTAAGGGACGCCACTGGCCGGGGATTCGGCCATAAATTCGGCACGAAGCGTTGTAAATTGTTGAGACGATTCGCGAATCTTTTACTATTTATCTCGAAAAGAATATTGCTTTTAAATTGCGTTTTTGACAGTGAAATATCGATCCTTTCGCATCTACGCGAAGGGTTCAAAGGGTATGCATGCACCTATTCCTTTACCCCTTTAACAAAGATTCAATGTATAAATAAGTGGGGATTTAAGATGCGTTCGATGATACATTAATGTCGCGAAATTGACACAATTGACATTAATGACATTTCATATGACAGAAGTTTAATAGAGGTGAGAATTACTTTGTTGGTGTAGAGGTGCAGTAACGATTGTTATAAAATAACCGTTATTTTGCAAATATTTTCGTTTTCCTGATTACTCTACACTCTCTTCTACTCTACTTTACTCTACCGTTTTCCTATAAAGAACTCAAATAATTCCCTTTTTCTGTATACCAATATGATTAAAATATCCATTTAAGCATTCATCAGGTAATAAATTATATTTCTGAAGCACACACTCGTTTTGAAATCTGTTATGGTATGCAAATTTTCCTGCGGGTATATGATTTGTACGATACAAACGAAATCGACGCGATACGCATAAAAATTAAACCGGAATTAACAATCACAAAAGGCGATTAAATCGCACAACAAAACTGTATATTTGTTCTTATCTGTTCAACGTGTATAATACTTTCCCTGTCAATGCGTAGCCAAGTTTTTAACACACAAAGCTTCGCGTGAACGTCGAAAAGCCAAATCGACAAATTACAGTGGTTATAGTTAGTTGTTCCGTAGCGTAATTTCGCTCATCTCCTGCCGCAGGTACACCTCCTTTTTATGCTTTTGTGATCCCGATGACTATCGCGATAATATTAAGAAACTAATTTGTAGAAAATTAAGTAGCTTATCTCCATCTGCGGTCCATGCATACTATAAATTATCCCAACGCAAAGTTTTTTTTTTTCTTCCGTGCGTATAATCCGTCGAACTGCGCCCGTCGAGGGAATCCGATTATTTCGATTGGGATCTTTGTTGTTCTGTTTGTTTGAGAAGTTAATGCGCTGAATTAGTCGAAATTTTGGTGTAATTATACGCGATTAGTCGATGAGATGTCGAGATTGCTCGTTCGCTGCGCGAGCTCGAGTTGTTTGATGTGTAATAATCATCAAGTAGTTTGAAGAATTTAGAATTGTAATGAAGCGATTATATCGAAAATTAAGTGAGTTAGAGATATACTACTTTGTTTTATTTTGTTGAAAAAAGGTTTGTCTAAAGGACAATGAGTGTTTGGGGTATCGTAAATTTTTGAAAATGGTTTAAATTTGGAGGTATTTCGAGTTTTTATGGATCCTGATGATGACGAAATTGTTAATTATAGTGCAATTCGATCGCAATTATCTCGAAAACTAATTGAGATAGAAACACGGTGTGTGTTTTATATTGTAGAAAAAACGATTCCCTACAATTTTTGAAGAGTCAAAAATTTCCGAAAATCGCTAAATTTTCGAGATATTTGAAGACCTACAAATACTGTCAAAATTCTGATTTTTCCAATTTTGTTTCATTTACTTAATATACTCACTACTTTTCCCCATCGAAAACGATCAATCAATCAACGTCAACCCTTCCAGCTTTATTATTTACAAATTTTTTCTATCTTCTAACTTTATTTTTGTATGTACATATTGTTTCTCGTCCAACAAATTCAAGTAATTGTAAAATTTTAATGAAACTCCGTAACCCGATCCGACGTATGGAAAACGCCGGGGAATATAACGAAAAAAAAAAAAATTGTCAAAATCGCCCGGGCGTTTTCCGCACAAAAGGGCCGGCGCGCGGAGAAATCAAAAATAATCAAAATTGTTTTGTCGCGTATTAATGCGCGTGTTCCATCCTCGATAACCGAGGGCCCTTTGTGGCTTCGACAAAAGCGCATCTACAAATTGCATTGCGATTCAACCAATCAGAAACGCTTTGTCCCGATTGGGACGTGTGTGTGTATGTTTTTTGTCGACAGGTAAATTAATAAACTCCTAAAAATAATGGACTGCGCCGATATTTTCGTTCGAAACTGCCCGTTCGACCCGAACTAAAATTTCGAATGTTATCGCATTGTTCGCGAGCACATGTGTATACAGGGGGCGCGCTTTGCGAATTTTCGCTGGAAACGCGGCGATATTTATTTCGAAAAATCAGCGCGAGAGTTCGGCGGCTTTTATCAATTATATCTCTCGCTAAAATATTATATTTATTCATCCGTTGCGATCGCGCGCGGCTTTGTTTCGATTCGCATTTACATTTGCCGGCTCAATGGGCGGATGTTTTAAATAAATTAATCTATTTTGTACAGACGGTTTCCGGATTTTTTTATATTTTTTTGTATAAATGTTAAATTCGCCTAATCGGGGCGGTTTTCAATGGGATTTATGTTGAATTACGTTCGTATAAATAATAGCATGGTTTGGACTTTAATAGTTCAAAAATCAATCAATAAAATTGTACAATTTTGCACTCAAAAATTGTTCGCTCTAATCTTATTCACAGATCCAATTAAATTCAAAAATCAACCAATAAAATTGTTGAATTTTAAACACAAATTGGGTACAATTTTGCACTCAAAATTTGTTCACTAGAATCTTATTCACAGATCCAATTTAAGTCAAAAAACAATCAATAAATTTGTAGGATTTTGAACACAAATTAGATACAATTTTGCATTCAAAGTTTGTTCACTCTAATCTTATTCACAGATCCAATTAAATTCAAAAATCAATCAATAAATTTGTAGGATTTTGGACACAAATTAGATACAATTTTGCACTCAAAAATTGTTCACTCTAATCTTATTCACAGTTCCAATTAAATTCAAAAATCAATCAATAAATTTGTAGGATTTTGAAATTAGATATACAAATTAGATACAATTTTGCATTCAAAATTTCTTCACTCTATTCTTATTCACAGATCCAATTAAATTCATAAATCAATCAATAAATTTGTAGGATTTTGGACACAAATTAGATACAATTTTGCACTCAAAAATTGTTCACTCTAATCTTATTCACAGATCCAATTAAATTCAAAAATCAATCAACCAATTTTGCCCCCAAAAATAGCTCAAAACCTCCAACCCCCATTAATCCTTTTACACTTTTTAACCAATTATAAGTTACCCCAATTCCCATAACTTTAAGTAGGTACTCTCTCCCATCGATTCCTCCACATACTACATGCGAATTTTTCCCAACCCCGCGGAGTCCTTAAATTACCATCGCACATAACCGAGTGTCCGTAAGTTATAGGCCATAACGGTCCTGCCGGTTGCCCTCGGGCCTAATTACTTACTGTCCGTCGCTGATAAATATCTGAGATGGGCCGCGAGATACCGAGCGGCCCCGGAAGGAAGCAGATGCCCCGCCAAGGAGACACCACCTGCTCCGAGGAAGAGCTCCTCCCGTCCACTTTTTTATTAGAAGAAAAAAAATACATACCTCTCGATATCGCGTGATTATTAACTTTCCTTAGCCCGACCAAATCGACTCACTAATATTTCCCAAACTGTATACAAATTACTAGTTTTTCGCGACGTTGCCGGACGCCGGATATTCCAGCGTATTCGGGGAAATTTTTGATTCGGTGAAAAGTATCGGAAAACCGATGCGGTTGAATGTTTAAAAGCTCGCTCACGCGAGCCTAATTTACGACGCCATATTTATTTCCGAACACGCGATATATCTATCCTTTTGTTTTAAGCGCGTCATGACCGG